TGTGCTTTTAAAATCAATTTTATAATATGGTTTAGTTGTTTTTAGATAGTGTGTCTTATGCATATACCAATGTAATGATTTGTTTTTTACTTCACTTTAAATTGTTTCTTTGGTAAACACATTTATATCAAAAAATGGAGCCAGGACAAGCCACCAAACTTGAATTTTAAAGTTATTTATTTTTCCAAAACTTCCATAGGTAAGCTTATTTAAAAAAAAATGTGGCCCTAATTGGAGTAAGTTAAGTAGTTCACTATAAAAAAATATAAGAAACATGCCATCGTTTTACACCATGATTCTCAACGAAGACACGTAAAATTAGCGCCTGGGATATTCACCCATATATAACAAAACAGAGGTACATAGGTACCTACTGCATATCCCGGGATTTCTTCCTGCAGCAATGCGAGAGGAGAAATAAATACATCATTATGACACAGCGTGTAACAACAAAAAAGCTAACTAGCCTTCAACCTGTGCAAAAGGCTGTTTTGCATTTTTTTGTAAAATACTATTTTGCACACATCTAGGTATTTGGTCACCATATCCTACACTTCCTAGTCTTTCTCCCCTAAAAGTTAGTGACATTTTAAATGTTTCCATTCTTTATTAAAATGTATTTGGTCAATAAGAGTACGTGCACCAAACAAAACATATTATAATGTTTTGTGCAGTGCACGTACACTAATATAAGTCTTTCTCCTGGCCGTTTTCCAAATCGGTAAGGGTCAGTGTCTGAATCAAATTCAGCTGAACTGCAATATTTTACATGTATTGACGATCGTGTACAACCGTTCTCTGGTGTCTGCCTAATATTTAGCTTAGCATAAATAGTAATTCAACAAAAAATGTAAAGATAATAGGCCATGGAAAAGTTACTTCTGATGTATGTAGGTACAAGAAGTATATTACAAAACAGAAGAAAATTTGTATATAACTATCAACTTGCCTAGAAAGAAATCCTACCGAAACATTTTACATGTACAGTCAAGTTTCTAACCCTACTTTCCCTAAATATTATATAAAGTACTAATTCTGAAATACTACCTACACTCGTAGCTCGTAACGCGTAGTCCGTAGCGTGTAGTTCGAAGTTCGTAGCAGCAAATCGGCCGCACGGAAAGAGTTGACGAACACCTCAGTCGAAATGCATAACATTGCCTTTGCAATTTGCCATTATGCTTGAAGTTAAAATCTATTCAATGTTTATTACTTAATACATTTTTGTAGTAATAAAAGGGCCATTTTGTTAATGATGTATGGTACGCGCGCGCGCTACGAACGTATGTGCTACGAGCCACGTAATATTTCATCCCAACCGAAGAGTAAAATTGGGTTTATAGATTTGGGGCTGAGGATCTATAGATCTACTATTAAAAATAGTTCATTATGAGATTGCTTTTGACAGTGCCTGTTATATTTTTGGTCTCAACTTGGCAATATTTTCCATGAAAATGTTTTTTTTTATTCTTGTTCCATACGAAATAGCTGTCATATTACTTGAGTTCAACCATTCCTATCTGTGCTAAGTAATTAGAAGGAGGGTTAGCCAAGCCTAAAACTGCGAGCTCTCTGAGGTACGGCCGACTCTGGAGATGATAGGGCTAGACGTCTATTGACAAAAGTGATAGGGCCGTTATGTTACCATGAAGGTGCATATTTGAGTACAGCTTTGCATGTTCTCCTTATCGATTTGATTAGGTTATAGAGAGATATTTGATTAGCACGGGCCGTTTATTCTTATGTACGCATTTAGGCCCAAAGATTTAATTAATCAATTCTAGTAATTATTAGGTGTTGTATAAAAAAGCCGTTACACTATAAATACCTCTATATTGCTACTAAGTATCTTCTCTTATATATTTTCGAACCTCATAAAATAGACTTTCATAAAAAACTGAATTTAATTAAATTTAATAAATGGGATTCGCGAAATAACAGCATATAAAGTTAGTTGTGCTGTTCCGTCGCAACATTCTGTTAAGTACCGGCACACCGCCTCTCTAGCTTATTGAAACTACGACGAAATAAGTTTTGTTACCCTCTGTTTATTTATATTTAAAGTAGGTACGGTTCTGTTATTTTACGCATATTATGTATAATAATCTAGGTTCATACATTTTGTTGACTGTTTTATTATTGTAATTGTTGCAACTGCAGAATATGTAGGACAGCGCAGTGGGACAGAATTCGATTATTGGATTTGACAAGCAAAATAAAGGTAGGTTATATAGGAAGTGATAGTATGGTGAGTGCAGCGCCTGAGCGACTAAATTTCTCTGGTTCGATTCACCTTTGAAGCGATGCATGGTGTTAGGACCTAATTCACACTTTTTTGCTTTCACTAGATTAAAATGATAGTTAACACAACAAAATTTTAATGTTGATAATAAATACATATATATGTTAATAATAAATACATATTGCTAAACATGTTATGTTAGATGCTATACCTGATTGACCTGATATTGATTGTACGGTTGGCGTGGTGGTTGGGCAACTGGCTGCCGCGCAATATGGCGCGGGTTCGCACTCATTCACACAACAATTCTTTTTGTGATCCACAGGTTATTGTTCCTGGTCTGAGTGTCATGTGTATGTTTGTAAACTGACCTACGACACAGGAGAAAATACCAGTGTGCAAATAATTACATATGGTTTTTTAAACGTTGCCACGTTTAAAAAACTACTTATGATATTATTTTACCAAACTTCTACACAGTCATACAAAGGTACTTACATCAATAGTTAACATATTAGTACAGTATTACTCTGCAATTTATATGTATTAGCAAAAAATCTAATACAATCAAGTCTCTTAAACTGTCAAATACCAAGCGGTCACCGGTGACCGCAACCTATTGTTCTATAATTGTGTCTACAAAACCGGTACTCGACGAGTTAAATAAAATTCTGGAGACACTAAAAAAGATACAAAAGTCTAGGTCCGAGGGCAAAGGCTGCGTCTTCCTTTTTCATTCGTAATTCATAACTTCCATTCCTAACTTATTTTATTATTTTTTGAAGACCGAAAAGTTTGTAAGGACTTTATGTTTTTAAACTTTTTGTCGAAAGGTTTTTTTATGATAGATGATATACCTACGAATTATATTATAAGTGTACGAGATTTTATGTACGAATTTTATAAAATTAGGTAATTTACCAGTGGTTTTACTAGCTTAAATTAACCTATGTCTGTATGCACCTATCCAAAACTTAAATATATAATTAACTGATTCAGTTTCTAACATAGGTATAAATAAACTTACTTTCGTGTTATTACTTTCGTTATTGACTGCCTCGTTGGCCGAGTGGTCGCAAGTGCGACTGCCGGGCTAGGGGCCTCGGGTTCGATTCCCGGGTCGGGCAAAGTATTACTGGGTTTTTAAAAATCTCAGTAGTCCTAGTAGCACGGAATCTGGAAATGTGCCCGGTATATGGCAATAGGCTTACCCCTTATTACATGGGACTTATAACATAAATAGTGAAAAGTGGGTGTTACATTGTACAGTGGCATTACTTAAGTGCCGAAATGGGCACCTCTGCCTACCCCTTCGGGGATAAAAAGGCGTGATGTTATGTTATGTTACTTTCGATTGATCGTCATGAGTCAGCAATTGCCCCACTAAATTGCTGAGAAAAGGCTCTTTTCGAATGGAGAAGGAATGAGCATTGATCAGAACCAGAAAGGATTGACCACTTCACGTTGTTTACCTTCACCTGAAGTCACAGTTTGGTACTTGCCATGTTTCGAAACTGTATAGGTACACTCATATTCTTAAGGAACTTTAACTTTATAAATTTAAAATTATACAGTCCAGAGAAAAAGAATTGGGATGATGCCAGGATAAGAAACTTAAAAATCTTATTAACCCGTAAGTTAAGTTAGGTAATGAAAAAAAATATTAGACACGTATTTTTTTTATTTTGTCGTATAATAAAACAATACTTAGATAGAACGAATCAAGGTTTAGGAGTGGGGGCTAAAACGTCATTTCTACGTATAAAACGTACATAGAAGTGACGTCACACGACATTTCAAATGAATATATCGTCGAAAGTATTCGTTTCTGTAAGAATATAAAAAATACGCGTCTAATGATTTAAAATAATTTATCAGACGGACATTAAAATAAAAATTAGGCATCTACCCTATTTTCACACGTAAATGAAGTCGCGGCCAACTACTAGTTTAGGAATAAATTCTTACTCTATGACATCAAAGAGAGATTACATGACTTACGTTAATGTGGAATTCCCTAAATCTTGACGTACCTCGTAAACAAACACGTCGTAACATAATAATATTTACCTACCTCATAGCCACAGGAACCAAATCTAAGACTTAAATTATACCTAGTTATACGTTAATATCCTGGGCATCACACTGGGTTCTTTTTATCCCGAAATAGTGTATACACTAATAAACCAACTTAATTGTGCGGCTCGATCCCTGGACAGGATTACTGTACCAGACGCAAATATGAGTTTGTCGAATGTTAGGTTACCCACAATGGATATTACGCCGTAATTGTAAGGTCGAAATTAGCTGAAAATGCATTTGTAAGTTTTTTGTGTTTGTAATTGTGCAATCACGGCTGCAGCAAAACCAAATTTTAAACAGGATGATTGATTGAGTGATTTTGTTTTGAGAAAAAATAATAATATATGAATGTAATCCGTAATATTTATATTATGCAGTTATGTTTAACTCGTTGAGTACCGTCATTATAGACACAATTAAAGAACAATAGGTTGCGGTCACCGGTGTCCTCGCGGAGTTTGACAGTTTAAATCGAATACATAAGATAGTGTATTTTTTTACTAAGCATTGTAAGTTTACATATGCAAGTTGGCTGTGTCAGGCGTCCCTCAGCGGTCAGCGCATCGCTTGGTCGGTCGGGAGTCGGGAAACGCAATCCGCGTGGAGCGCTTCAGCGAGGTGCGGGACTCGGCACCGTGATCGCATCGCATCCCGCTAGCCCGCCTCGCCACACTATCCGGCGACAGCCGCCAGTCGCCGCTCAGCAAGTCGACGGTCTGCACGGTGCACTCGCATCCTGCTGCTCGCGACCACTGCCATACCGCGCGCGGACTTTTTCAACACTTTTAAATTCTTTAAACTAAAATTTTTAATTACTTTATTTTAATTTCAAAATGAGGCCCATTATATTTTTTAAGTTTTTATTACTTTTCAACTTTTTTACTTTAACTTTATCGAAACACTGCCCGGCCAGGTGCCAATGCTTTCGTAGCAAGGTCGCATGTCTACACCAGGACCTTTCGACGGTCCCAAAGCCGGCAGCCGATACCCACAGTCTGTAAGTATTCAATTCAATTATTGTTAAGTTCAGCAAGTTTCCCTGCTAGTTTATAAATAGAGTGTTGTTACTATGGCTTTATAAATAAGTGTGAGATTCATAGCAGCGGCCGCGAGCTCCGGCGATCGCGAAATGTTATTGTTGCGAAAGCATCTGTTTCAGCTATTTCAAAGCTCTAATCTAAAACTAAATCCCAAGGCAACGCTTAGCGATAATTTCTGAGATAGAAATAAATAAAAAAGGACAAACACTCTCGCTCTAATTAATATAATTGATGACATGAGCACATACATCAATCCGAGTACCTACGAGTACGTAGTTTGATAAGAAAGTTCCGTAGAAGCTTTTATCACTCTCCCTACTCTTTGAAACAAACGGATACTGAGTGGGTAGCGTCTGACATTTATTTCATTGCATAAAATCATAAAACTAATTTGTATACACGCGCAAAAAAATTATAAGTACTTTGTAATTAAATTAAAGTTTGTACAGAGTAGTTAATTTGTGTGGAAATCATGGATTACCTATTGTTTTTTTTGTACTTTAAAATAAAAACGAATATTGTAAATTTTGTTAGATAATAATTGCAAAAATCAGGTAAGGGCGTTGGCCGACAACACGTCCCTGAGTGTATGCGCAACTCCAACATCTAGTGCTGATTTCAAAGATTTTTCTGTATTTTGTTATGATTATTAAGGAATAATATAATAATTTAACTATCTACTATTTAATAGTCCTGTGTTCGGTTCACAAGTTATGAAAAGTAATCCTGTGGACACCTTTAGGATTCGAACCGGTTTAATCTCGAACCAAAAGGTTCGAGAACGTCATACACAAGACTATTAGAAATATAACAAAAATATAATTATCGTACATGGAATGTAGGGAATTTAGATTCCTTTAAAATGTAATAATGTGTTTTTAAAAAGTCTACGAAATGCCTACGAGGTTACTACGTAGCTTTTGTGTAGCGATCGACGCCGACGCCGCGCCGTTGCATCGTGGGGCCTTTACAAATCTATAGTTTTTTACGCAAAAGCTATCGAGAGAATCTGATTGTAATTTTTCCTCAATTAGCCCTAAACTATCACTTAACTAAAAGGTGCTTAGTCTGGCGTAGCACCAAAACTAATCCCTTCCTTGTTCCGTTAGGTGTCACTTATAGTCCCATTTACTATTTTTTACACTTTAGTGTAAAAATCAATGATCTTTAGATTATAGTCTGCAGTCTGTAGATGTCACACAAATCCTTCAATATAAAATTTTATAAAATATATTAGTTTTCAAACCAGACAGTTGGCAGGTAATACAAATAGGTAAAAAAGAGCCCAAGGTCCTATGCGATAACCGTGTTTAACATAAAAAAGAAAAAAAAAACAACAATTTTTGAACAGTGTAGATACCTACTCTAGAAGCCATCAGCTTGCTTTAAAATATCATTTTTGAACTCAATTTCCCAAAACGCAACTATATAAATTGACCGTCGTTTTTAACTGAATTACACCTAAAATTCGTTGCATTTTTTTATCGATATATTTTGGATATGAGTACTTTCTCCGACAATATTTTCAACGAAGGTAAATAAAATATAAGTTACTTCAGAGAAGGATAAAAATATAATAATAATATTAAAGTTTATCACTACTCGTACCCATATTATTATGGTTTCATTAATTTCTTTGTGTCTTTCATGTTGTATGAAATACCTAAGTGTTGTATGAAAAACTACAAAATAAAAATGCGAGAATTATCTAGATGTGTAAAAATTGAGCTCCAAAATATATGTGCGCATTAACATCGTAAATAGCTGCACCAAATTAGATAATTTATTTTAAGCGACTTGAGATATTGTTAATTTCAGCGAGAAGTGAAGGACCTACCAAAACAAAGGATGGGGTCCCTAGTTTTATTTAAGTATAATTCCTTCTTAAAAGTAGCTAAAGAAACTAATGTTTCAGTTCACTGTAGGTACTCCTTCAACAAGGGTTTATTGCGAACTAATGCAATTGCTTTTATCGATTTCATTTCATGTACAGTGAAGTGCAGCAAATATAGGATACTCCATTTACTTTACCTACTCGTACTGAAAAAAAATCATTTAAAGAAGGCAATCCTCGATTAAAACTACAATGTTTTAAATTCCTTAAAACTAAAAATATAACTTGAAATAAAAAAAACCTTCCGCATCTATATAGGGACGTACACATATGTATTTTAAAAATAATTTAAGCACCCTATTGCACTTGTTGGAAATTCATCGCCGACGCCCGAAGCGGTATCGAATTTTTCGAATAATCAGCTCGTTAGACCAGAAAGGCTGTGAAAATGTTAATGAAAATATGAGGATTAAAAGGCTGCTAAGTCATTTTTAGCCAACAAATTAGATATTTCCGATAAGTGTCCGTTAAGTGAAAAGGGGTTAACGAAACTACTCCAGACTCCACTGCTAATGAATTAACAACTAACTTCGAAGTCCACAAAAATAGGTTTTCTAATATTTCCACCTCTCGATACTAATTTAAACGCACGCTTCATTTCCGTTTTAATAATAATTTCTTTTCCTCTATAAGCAAAGTAATTATGCAGATACTTTATTAACAATTTTCTTTACTTGAATTCCTTAGATTTTAATTAAAGTACCTACGATATTTTTAATCATCCCCGATGTGTGTTTGTTTTATAAAAAATTCAACTTAGAAGATTATGAAAAGTTTTCTCAGCAATTAAATAGAAGTATTATGCAGCATTCATATTAATAATTTGCGGTGGACGTGGTTATGTATTTTCCAATAAGACTTTCATATCATGTTGATACAAGCATATAGATTGCAGGGAGGGACTATTACTTATAAAAAAATAAAAGATAAATTTTAAGCTAGGAACTTGTACACTTGTAAACATAAGTGTTTACCTTATTACTCCCTTTATGTAAGTATAGCCGCAGTTTTGATTCGGACTCTGTCAGAAATATTCTTATAACATTTCTAGCTTTCTGCCCGCGGCTTCTTTCGCGTGGTCAAAGAGAAAAAATAGCCAGCCGGTCCACAACCTTCTACCTCCAGGCCAAAAAAAAATATAATATAAAAAGGTTCGTAAAAGAAAGACCATTTCGCATTTGTAACATTAGATGCTGATTTCAACAAGCAAATGACTTATAGACAATTTGCTCTACATACATTAGGTCAGTCAGATCAAACAATACCGCACGTGTTTTATCAAACGCCAATCATGTGAAAGTGATGTCACTGTAGTCATTTCGATTTAGTTGTCTTAATGATAAAAACCCGTTTATAGAACAAACTGTAAAAACGTCAAGAGACTGCAAAATTTTATAATTTTTTTAAACGGTTCAGATTCTCCCTATAGTCTATGCAAGGTTGGTACACTTGTAAAGTAACAGGGTGTACTTTGATAGACGGAAGAATTTATTGTGTGATGGATTAGGCAATCGGGTTTGAAAAAATACGAATTAATTTATACAAGTACAGAATTATTGACAAAATCTCCAGATCCCAGAATCGACAGCTTTGCTTGTCGAGAGATTAGATACGTCATCAACGTCCAAGACAGTTCTATTCTCTTCTAAACTATACACAAGGTTATTCTAAGCGCATGTCGCCTAGACATTTTTTCTTCTGACTATACAGAAAAGTTTTACTCTCAGAAAGGCTTTATATTTAGAAGTCACCTTCTTTTTTTCGCCCAGCATTATCTCTACTCAAGGTAGGGTGGGTCGGCACAGAATTAAAAAAATATAATTGTCAATACTTCACGTAAAAATACGGTCATGCTTACGACGGATGATAATATGAACTACATTCTTGGTTTAGAGCCGTCAACATTTTACCCTGGAGATATGGCCACATTATGTCAGATATTCGGTCTTTCTGGTAGTTGCCTGTCGCCGATGTTGGTTTGACAGCCGCGAGCGACAGCTTAATGTGTTCTTCGAGACACTGGGTGAAACTTCACTGAACTTACTGTCTTCGGGCTAGTAATAGTAAGTTTAAAATTGGTCACCCTTTAGCACATTAACTTGGGTGAAATTGAATTTCATTTCTAAAATCAATTGATTTAGGATATTGCGTCGCGACTATGGCCATAGAATTTGGTTTTTTATATGGTGCCAAAACTACTTAATAAAGCCTACCTACCTAATTTTCCGCACAAAATTTATTAATCAATTATGTTAACAACACAATGTTTGGATTGATCATTAAAGCTATGACGGACTTCAATAGTCATTGTTGTACTTATAGTATTGTATCTAAAAATACAATAATTAATCTACCAAATGTTACCAGTCGTTATGTCCAGACTTAAAAGTTGTAACTATTGAGTACCCTTTGTAGACCTATTGTTCCTTTGTGGCATTGCCTTTATTAGGTTTCAATAATGTGGGTATTGGATACCTGTATTAATTAGAAGCCTTTTGCGTAATAGTGGTTTTACGTCATGATACGTTTGTAGACCATGATATTAGGTATTAGTGAGTCGGTTGCCGGGGCTCCGGCTCGAAGAGCAGAAGTAGGAACGGGATCGCTTTTAGTCAGTAAGACTCTGACACTCCCTTTCACCTTACCAGAGTGGCAGAAGTCCTTGCATGATTTTCTCTCCTCAAAGAAAAGGTAATTGAGTATTGACTTAAAAGGAGGAGTTTAATAATTCGTCGATATCTTTTGACAAGTCCTATGTATGTACGTACAACCCACATTCAGTGATGGCTCAAAGGCACCTGGATAGGTTTTTTTTAAGTGATCGTATTTTTCTGTGACGGTTATCTTTTTGAGGTACAACCATATCTTGGATCCTTTTTTCTGTTTTCAACAGTACAATAGGTATTTATTGTGTTACAATGTTGTCTTAGATAAATTATGAGCTCACTCTAAGTTTATTACAATGACATCACATATGCACTTACACAACTTGTATTATAGTCTCAAAAGAGAGATCTCTATTTAATTACTTTGCTATCCTTGGAATCTTTTAAGTATTTTTAA